AAAGTACATTGCTAAAATTAATTATTAAAATTTTATTATAAAAATTAATTTTAAAAAAATTAGTGCAATCAAATTTGCTATGTTATAATTTAAGAGATATGTTTTTGTTATTTTCTTTTTGTTGAATATAGATAAAATATATTCTATCCAATATCTTAGATAAGAAAAAATAAGGAAGTTAGTTCTTGATAGAGCTGCAAAGTTTTTTAACTTAAGTACAAGTTAGTATAACAAGTTATATTTGATTATATATTGTATATATTAAGTGATATCAAACTTACTAAATTCTAATGTTCTAATAATAATGTTATTATATTTTCATAATTATTAAATAAAGTCATATTTAAGTTTTGATAAAACTGTCAAAAAATTAAAAAAAAAAAAATTTATATAAAGTTCAGTTATTATTTTTTTTTTACTTTAAGCAGTTATATTAGTTTTTTATTTATTTATTTTTTTTTAATATTAAGATAATTTTTTTGATTTTTTGACTTTTATTAATAACTTTTTTAATAATATAATTCTATAAACTACTACAGAAGAGTGTACAATTAGCTACATATATGACTTTTTTATATTACCTATTTAAGAAGTCTACTCAAAGGTTTCCTACTAATTGTTATATTTAATATCTTTGCTTAGATGTATTATTTTAAACTCTTTGAACTTGCAATTTGTGTTAATATCATTGGATTATACCTAGATGTCTAAATTATTATCTTAACTTTAGGACTATTTTATTTTTGAGATAAACCTCTTAGAGTCTTCTGTATTTATTTTTATAACTAACTTTAATATTTTTTTTTTAGTTTGTTTCAACAGTCTAGTTGGTGGTATTTTTGAAAATTCTAACTTAGAGGTTTTTGCCTATTTGTGTATTATAACTTTGATATCTGTTTCATAAGACTAGCTTTTACAGTAAAGTTATTAAAAATCTGACTACTTCTCTACTCAAATTATTTTAAATAGACTTTTTATTATTTAATTTTAACAGATTATATAATTACAAAAACTTATTTAGTATTTGTGCTACCTATTTGTTGGTTTGCATTCCTTTGTATAATGTTATACTTTACAGATGCCTTATAATCTACTAGTTATACTAATGTAATTACCATTACAGATATTTTAACTTAATTATTAGTAATAGTTGCTATAATATAAATATTATATAAATGATTATCTAAATTTTCACTGTTAATAGAATTTGAACACCCAATCAACTACTTGGAGGATTAACATTCTGACCACTTCACTAGATTGTTACATCTGCTAGTACTTTATTTTATTTTTTAATTTTTTTCAATATTAAGGTGACCTCTTTGGTTTGAGCTTTTTATTAATACTTATAGCAGGTACATGTTTTATATAGATATATCTATAATGAACTATTAGATGAGTATACAACTGGCTACACATGTAACTTTTTTATATTACCTATTTAAGGAGTTCGCATGAGGGTTCCCCATCAGTTTCCATATCTAACACCCTTGATTAAATGTTCTATTTAAACCCTCTGATCTAACCCTAGTATTAATTTTACCAGAACACAGACCCAGATCTATTCGCATTTGACTATAGGACTATAATCCTTAGACTATTTTTATTCTTGAGGTAAACCTATCAGAATGACCTGTATTCTCTTTTACCCCTAACCTGGTTTAATGCTATAGCTGAGACTAACACTTGCAGTCAGGATTACTCCTTAAACTGCTATTACCCTTGTAAAGTTCACCCAAACCCTAGTATCCATCTTTCTGATTTCTTCTCCATTATCTCTTACTAGTTGCAACTCAGAACTAACTAACTTTCCAGACTTCAAATCCAGATGGCCTAATATGGTATATTTATGTATCCTTTTCCTTCGGTGATTCTAGCAACCTGGTTGGTCATATACTCCTCTATACATCTTTGTCATCCAGTTTATCTAACAGTTCCTATGAAGATGTTTCATAGGCTTCCATCAGTCCAATGGCATCATCAAAAGTTTGTGCTATCTCTTTGCTTAGAATTTCCAAGTGATTTTTTGTCTCTTCAGTTTTTTAGCCTTCTATGCCCGGTGGTCTTATTATGGGTTTGCACTGAAGCCTTATATGACACCAGTTTTTTATATTCTTCTATGTACATGTACTATGTAATATTACACTTTGCATAGATGCCCTGAGCTCCTAATGTCAGGTGGGACCCGACTTGGTGTACCTAAGATTACAGATGCCCAAAATCCAACTGATCAGCAAGAAACAGTTACTGTAACACAGGTATAATTTTCAAAATTTATTGTCCATAGGAATTGAACCTTAGACTTGCTACTTGAGGATTGACAACCTATTCACTTCACTAAGATGTCACATCTTCTCTGCTAGTACTTTATTTTATTTTATTTTTTTTGTTAAGATAACCTCTTTGGTCTTTTGACTTTTATTAATTACTTATCAGTATTGTGGTTCAATGAACCACTACAGAAGAGCATATAATTGGCTACATGTGTAACTTTTCTATATTATCTATTTAAGGAGTCTGCTTGAAGGTTTTCTACTAATTGCTATACCTAACACCCTTGCTTAGGTGTTCTACTTTAAATCCTCTAAACCTGTAACCTGTATTAACATTACTGGGTTATATTCAGATGCCCAGATCATCATCTCAACCTTAGAACTAATTTATTCTCAAGATAAACTCCTCAGAGCCTTCTGTATCTATTATTATAGCTAATCTAGATATCACTATAACAGAACCAACATTTGTGATTAGGGCTAATCATTAATCCACTATGTCCTTGTAGAGTTCATTTAGATCCTAGCATCTACTTCATAGCATAACCTGGTACTTTAGTATACCTCTGCCTTTTCCTCTGCCCTTTTATCAAACTTCCAATCCAGATAGCCCATGTAGAACTACAACCAGTCTATCAGTATATTGGGTCAGCCCGATATTCTTTTTTTTCAGTTCATTCTGGCAGCCTGGTTGGTAGTACCTCTGAGACTCCTAATCCAGAAGTTCTTGCCCATCCAGCTACTAGGACCAGATACTAAACCTAGGTATCTGTTTCACTAGGCTAGTCTTTACAGTAGGGCCATTAAAGATCCAGCTATCTTTCTACTTAGATCTTTCCAAATGGACTTCTTGTTACCTAATTTCAATGAATTTATATGACTATAAGGACTTATCTAGTGTTTGCACCACTTGACATGTTGGTTTGCATTCTTCTGTATAACTTCAACATTGCACAGTTGCCTCATAACCTGCCAGTCATGCTGGTGTAACCGACATTACAGGTATCCTAACCCAATCATTAGTAACAGTTGCCATAATATGAATATTACATAGGTGATTATCCAAATTTTCACTGTTGATGGGATTTGAACATCCAACCTACCACTTAAGCAGAGTTAGCAATGGATATACTCTATTGGAAAAATTGCCAATAGAGCCAATGAAACCAATAGAGCCAATGGAGCCAATGGAGCCAATGGAATCAATGAAGCCAATGGAGCCAATGGAGCCAATGGAATCAATGGAGCCAATGGAGCCAATAGAGCCAATAGAGCCAATAGCGACAGAGCCAACAGTTCCAAACTAGCAGTTAATCATATGAACTTTGCTTAACAATTATTGTTACACAGAGTAAATTTTAAAATATATTAAAAAAATTGAATAAAGCATTCTCAAGCACCTTAATTAACAGGCAATATGTTAGAAATTAAAATTTAGTTAATGAAAAATATTTTTTACTAACTCAAACATGCTTATCATTAACAGCCAAGATAAATAAGGTATATTTGGACACAGTTTATTAAGTCAAAGAAGAAATTTAGTAAAAAACAATTAGAGTTTCTTATTTTGGCCAAAAACTTTTTGCTCCCAACTTCTTTTTTTTGCATTGACATATCAAATATTAAAGTAAGTAAAGTTATTTTTATATTTTTCATTATCTGTTATGAATTTTAATTATCAACACTAACATACTAACTATCCTTATTATTGTTTTTTTTTTTATTATACTACAAGAATCAATAAGGTCTTTATTTTAATCTATTGTAGCAAACCACAATTATTAGCAAATTATTGTAAATGTGTTCTTAAGCAAATTTTAATGATATTGTAGCCTGTGTTAAGATTATTGCTGTTTTGCATCAAATAATTATATCATATTAAAAATTTTGAATTACGTAATAAACTTTATCAATTTGCAAATATTATTTAAATCTCTATTATAAAACTTGCTTAAAATACTTTATGCTAAGTAAAATTTATTTCCTAACACTTTTTAATCTATTAATTAAGACACTTGAGAACATCTATTGAAACGTAACTTGGAATTGTTATTTTTTAAACAGCAATTTGTGAAAAACTATCAAATGATATATATTAGTGTTAGTAACTAATACTTTATTTAACTTTTGTAATTTCTGTAATGATAATAAAATTATTTAATAATTTATACTTGTGACATAAAACCTGAATTCTACAAAATCTCATCATTTAGTCACTAAAAACAGATAAGTTTTGAGTACAATGATTTGGTTTCTACTATTTATTAACATAGTTTTCTAAACCGAAATGATTGAATTGTAAGTTTAAAAAACTAAATTGCATTTTTACAAATATTTAATCTATAAAACTATTTATAAAGTTTATATTTAATATGTAAAGAATCTAGTAGTATATTATAATGTTTAGTTTTATTAGACCCAATACAATATCATAAGCAGTTATTTTTTTTTTTTTTTAATAAAGTAGCAGTACTGTGTCTGTAAAAAAAAAAATGGCACCAGATTAATGCCAAAAATAGTAGCAATAGCAAATAAATAAGATTAAGTCAAACTTGTTTTACCTGAACTAAATTTGGTTGTTTCAAACAAATAAAAAAGCTGAATGTAAAAGAAAATAAGTTTTCAAATTTTAAATATTTTAAAAAATAAAAATAGTCTAATTTAATATTGAGCAGAGTAAATAAAATAAAATCAAAAATCAAAAAAAAGAATAAAATAAAATTTTTATCATTTTTCTAATTCAAACAAATATGGTAGAGTTGGAAGATTTTGGCTAAATAAACTGCTAAGATTCCATTTTGCATTCTTATTAATCAATGGATGATCAATCTTATTACCTGTTGCATTTTCATAAGCTCTAATTCATCCGAATCTTGTTAACCCTACTCTTTTTTACTTTATATATGTTCATCATCATCAATCATGATAATCCATTTTGACACTATTTTATTCTACTCTTCCATGTTCATAGCATTGCTATTTCTTTCTTGTTCTTGAATCTCTTCATTCTCAGAATCACTAATAACTATTGTATAATCTTGATTGTTTTGTGTAGAATCTGTTAAGATTTCAGAATTATCTAACTGTAATCATGGTAGTTGAATGTCATCTTGAATGTTTTGAAATTTTTTAATTGAATTTTCAATAGCTTTTAAATTGTTACAATAGTTCATTGCAGCATGCAACTAACTCATTTGTAATACTTTTTTAGGCTTAAAGTATAAATATGTAAAACTAGTATTTTAGAATTATTGTTATTATATAATATATACAGTATATAATATTAAAATAAACAAACCTTTAAACGGTTACAATATTTATTATGAAACCAGTCCATGCATAAAAAGAGTCTTTCAACACATGCAGAGTTTACACAAATTGAAAAAATTCAACATGCAACTTTACTTAGTTCTTTTGCTAAATCAGAACAAAACCCCCAATAATCTAAAATATTACTTGCAAACTGGTTTGCAACATGTAAAGTAAATGGCTTTTGTTGTTTATGAAACTTTTTAAGTTCAGGAAGTAATGATTTTGGTTCTATTTGAAACCATGCATAATAATACTAGCAGATCCAATTACTAAGTTGTGTATATAATCCTTCAATATTATCATCAAACATTTCCATACGATATTCTAGATGAAGAAGGAAAGCAAGTAAAAGAAGTAGTTGTTTCTATGATTTCTAGCACTTTTTTAAATGATTAATCATCTGAGTAGCAAATTCTTGATTAGAATATTCTTTATAAAATTTGATAAAATATGCAACTCCATGAAGAACTTCATGCAAGTGGGCTTTGTCTTGTTGTAATTTATTTAGAATTATACAATATGATAACAAGAGAGTTGCAAAGTTATTAATTATAACTCATTATTGTTCATTATTAATAATATTGCAAATTTTTGTAGATAATACTGATGTACTTCGTGTATTATTAGAAGTTGATGAAAGCTTGAGTTTAGCTACAAGAGTCTAAATTATAATTTAGTATTTTTTATATTATAAAGTAAATAACATTAAAAATTAAATATATACTATATTTTAATAAACTTGCCTTTAAAGCTGCTTTAGTTTTTAATAAACTTGAAAAACAATAATAATAACTATTCCAACATGTTTCAACAGGATTAACAAGTGCGATACATTTTTTATACATTAAATACTGTTCATCATGAAGTTGTTTTATAAAATATGAATGATTGGTATTGTTAAAAAAAGATATGACTATAATAGCTAATTTTAAAGCATTATTAAATTCAAGAGATTCTTTAAAAATTTCACCAATACATAAATTAAGCTGATGAGCAAAACAAGATAAAAAAATCTTGTCTGTATATTTTAACTGTAACTATCATCTAAAAAAAATAAAATAAAATTAAATAAATATAAATTTAGAATAAAAACTTATAAAACTTACTTTGCTGCTGCATATGGTGAAGCACTATCAGTTATAAGACTAATAATTTGAATTTTTTCTATTTCAAACATGGTAAAAAATGATTCTATCATTCTTATTATATTTTTTTATTTTTTTTGTTCACCAGTAATATCTTTAGCATCCCAAATTAGTAATTCACCTTTTGATGTAACAAGTATAGACCCTAAAATTTCTTGTTTAGCTACATTTTTCCATTCATCAAATACTAACATTATATCATTTAAATCTTCTTGTGCTTTAGTTTTTATAACACTTTGCATTCTTTCAGCTGATTCTTTTAAAATTTGATCAGCAAGTTGTTTATGATTAGATAAAATAAGATTTGGATTAAGCCAATAATAATGTGCGATAACAGATTTGCTTTCTACTCATCTAAATAACCAACTATTTTCAATAGTTATATTAAGAATTTGTTTTTCAAATTGAGCTTGTTCTTTATGAGTAATTATATGAGCTAAAAAATTAAATATTTTGTTTGAATTAGAAATTTGTGACTGATTTGTATTTTGACTTGTAGTAGATCCTGTTGATCTAGTAGTTTGCTCTGAATAAATAGAAGTCAAATCATAATTATCATTATCAGAATCAATTTCAAAAGCTTTTAATAATATAAAGTTTATTAAAATTTTATTATTATAATTTATACAGTTATTATGTTAACAATTATAAAATTTACCATCATTATCAAAGTCAGTATATTATTTTTCATATGTTTGTAACTCAGAACTTTTTCTTTTTTTTATTATTTTTCTTGTCTCTTTTTTAGATATATATTCTTGCTCAGCTTCTTGAAGTTTTTTTTTCTGCTTCAACTTGTTCAAACTCATTAAGAAAATTAATGCATTTTTTAAGATAGTTTCGTACCAATTCCTATCTATTAATAATTTTTATTTCATCATCAACTTCATAACAATAACAACACAAACACTATTTATCACTAGGTTTTTCTAAATTAACGTATTTATTTGTAGTAATTATATGACCTGTAAGATTATGTCTTAGCTTTCTGCCTATATGTTTTTTGTTAGACATTTTTAAAAAACAAAATAATATAATAAAAACAACTTATATTTATATATCATTATCAAATTAAAATTTCTTTTGTTGCAACATTTAAGTATAAAAAATAATAGACAGCTATGTTCAATATAATCAAAAATATATACGCATTCCATATATACATGCAGTACATACATATATATTGTATACTCACTAATTAAGGTACTTAAAGTTATCTATGTATCTAATGCTATATACATATTCATATTTATTACTTAAATCAATTTATTCATGTTCATTTAGATAGCAAATTACACTGATTATATTAAACATATATTATTTTTAAAATTAAGATTTTATTTTGTCTCAATATTTTAAATATTAATTACAATTTTACTTTTAGCAAAGTTTTAATATTCAAAAGAGTTTTGATTTTGAAAGGGGTTTATTAACCTAATAAATCTTGCAATTCATACTTAATTTTCTTATACTCTTGAATTAGAAGTCTAAATTAAAAATAACCATAAACAATTAGCATTAGAACAATGGTAATGACAAATTAGATAAATTTTACTATAAAGTATTTTGTAACAATATATAACTTTTGCAATCCAGTGTGTATATAAAACAATTCTTTATACGTAATATAACTAATTTAAGAAAAAACCTGTATATTATGTAGTATAAATTCTACTGATAACATGTATATACATTTAGAGACAATTAAATAAAATACTTGGATATTTTATCATTATAAAAATAATTAAAATTGGGTATTAACATTAATTTAGAAATCAAATTTCTCACCTATACAGTATAATTTAATAAATTATGCAGTATTTTAAATCAGGGCTAAAATGACATATAGTAAATGCTAGCCATCTAAAGTGTTGTTCTTGATGCATAATTATTGTAATCAAGAATTCTATTAGCTATTTTAATATATTGTTTTTGTTAATATATACTTTTATTTTAGATTAAAAATGATATTTGGGATTGCTAACATTTATTATATTGTATTTATTTCTCAAAATATTTGAATTTAATGCTTTAAACTTATTACTAATGCTCAAGTCAGTCAACCTGTATATTTATCTTTAGACTCAATATGTTTATATTTGGTATCTGTCGCATGTTTGCCAGTATACTTGTGATTCAGGTAATATCTTGATTTTTTTTATTAGAATCTAAGAATTCAAATTTACAACTATCAAAAAGTCTGTTTTATTATTATTTTCATATTATAACTCCAAATCTGTAAATATTGGCATTCTTTAAAAATGAATATTCTCAATATTTCATATACTATTTAACCAGATTACAGAAATAGAACCAAATTACTTTTCATCTAAATTTTAATTTATTCTTAAGCATCACCCCAGATGTGATTTTTAATGATTGAAAGTGCACAAGTATTATTATGTAATTTTAGATATAATATTTTAGATAAAAATCAAATATCAAAAACATAACTTTGCTTATTAAAAACATATAGATTATAGGCCATTGGCACCTATTGGCTCCATTGAGAAATCACACCCAATGGAGCAATAGAGCAATGTCAATAGAGATGTTCTTCATTCATCCTAATGGATAAATGTGCCAACCCTGCACTTAGGAGGTTGACAATCTGACTACTTCACTAGGTCTCCACATCCCATCTGCTAGTACTTTATTAGAATTCTTGAAACTATATAAATTATATAAATTTTTTTTAATAATTAAGTTTAGCATTATCTGGTTATTTTATTAATATTTAAGTGCAACCTTTTGCACTACTTCAAACAGAACTAGACTGCTTATCTAATTATTACTTTACAATAAGATATTACCAATCTGATAACTTCTTCTTATAGAAAGACAAAAAAATAAAAAAAGATTTTATATATAAAAAAAACACAGAAGTATAGATATAAATAATGAAAAATACATATATACTCTTTTTGCTGATTTCTAGTTTTAAAGTAGAACAGAAAACAAAATCTAAAATATAATCAAAACAAAATAGCAAACAGTCTTTGAACTTTTAAAAAAAAAGAGTATATATTTAAATATATATACTACAATAGAAGTATAACAGTAAAAAATATATCACTAACAAACTAAATTTGCTTTAAGAAAAAATTTTTTATTTTTTAGTATAAAATTCAAAACTTTGAAAAAATATAATTAATTCTAAAAAACAGCAAAAAAACACATAACTGACCAAAAAACAACAAATAACAAAAAGTTATATTCTTAATTAGAAAGTAAACAAACAAATTAGTAGATATTAATATAACACAAAGTGCATATAAATAACTCAAACAAAAAATACTTTAATATAGGAGTTTAACTAATAGACCAAATAAATCTGGTTTATAATACAAATATTATGTACTATATTAAGAAAGTAAATGATAAAAATCAAAGGTATTTAAACTCTAAATTGTTGACCAAATTCTAACAATGTCTGCAAAAGAACTAAGCAATATAGAACATATAGCAAAAGATCTGGCAATAAATAACTCAAACTATATTACACTAAATGATATACTACTTTATGAACAAATTCTTAAAGCATTGAGTTTAGCAAAAATAAGTTGGCTTGAAGATGATGAAATAGATAAATAGGCACAAAGGCTTAGACTAATAAATCAGAACCCAAAGTTAGTTAATTATATCACAAACATGAGTAAAAAAGAAATACTTAAAGAAGAAAGAAAAATAGAAGAAATAAAAAAACCAAATAATATTAGAAAAATGCAAACTTTAATAACAAAAAAAAGATATCAAAAAGAAGAAAAAGAAGAAGCATTTCAAGAAAAGCCAATTCAAATATTAAATTTAATTATTGAGCAAATAAAAGAGCTTAACATTAATGCATTACAAGACATGCAACAAACTAATTTTATATTAAGCACAAACCAAATATTTAAGAATGAATTAAATAAAACAAAAAAGTTAAGAAGAAAGAAGGTAAAAAAGAATACAAAGACATCAAGAGATAATATTATCTAAAATGTCAGAAAAAATATAGAAAACATCAAAAAAGATAATAGAATTAAAAGAAGAAAATGTGACCTTTAAAAACCTGATTCTTAATAATACAATTGAATATAGCCAATAGTCATCAAAAAACAGAATATGTAACAAAAACAAGTTTTTTAAAGCAAACATGCTAATGTATATTTTGCTAGAAGAATCAAGTAATGAAAAAATAAAATATATGCAATAAATTTTAGGCAAGAACCACTACATTAAAGCAATTAAAGACCTAGTGAAGTGGTTAGGTTGTCAACCCTCCAAGTGGTAGATTGGGTGTTCAAATCCCATCGACAGCATAAATTTGGATAATCACCTATGTAATATTCATATTACGACAACTGTTACTAACGATTGGGTTAGGATACCTGTAATGG